AGAGCCTTCTGGTTTTGATCACAACATGCGTATCACCAACAACAACGTTCTAGAACATACTCATCTCTCAAACACAGTTTCAGATGAGCCCCGTTATGATTTCCAGAAGAACCCTGATGGTGGTATGGTCGGTAGCAGTAGCTTCTCTCAAGATTTTGGAGCTTTGTGATTCAGACATCTTCACTACAAGGCAGGTTAGAGAGTGTGAAGCTGTTTCTGCATCTAGATTCCTACCGCTACTGATTTATATTTTCGAATATATCAGTATAGTTGCAAAACAGATCCGTTTGTGGAGGTTTTGTTTTGAATTTTGAGTTTTGAAGTTAGTTCTCTTTTTCTCCGTCATTCATACATGCATGCCCATCCATAGATATATTTAACAAAAGCCTTGCATGAAACAAATTATTTAAGACATTGGAAAAAAAAAAAGACTTTTTTTTTTTTTTTTTTTTTAACTTTGTTTGTTCTTTTGACTTTTAAGAGTAACCATATTGAGCTTCTGGTTTGCGTCATTGATGGATGACACCTAGAAGGCTAATATAGCTCACAAATAAATGAAATCACATTTTATACTTTAAACAGTTCAATATTCCATAAATTGACATGGCCTGACCTCCAAAGATGATATGAAAACAATTTGGCTGCATCTTTTTATCAGGTTCTTGTTAACACACACACACATACAAAATCTCAAAATTGGCCAAACAATCTTCTTGTTAGTCGCAATAAAAAATTCTAGAGCCTTGGGATCAAAATTTAATCTAACTATGTATGAATGAATGCATGATCAACATAATCTAACGACTTGTATATGATATCTGCCAACTAAAATCATAGGTTCCCCAACTCTTCAACTATATTTACATCATATTGTTCTCTTTGAGCTGGATGAGATCAATAGGCAGTTGGGCAGACAGTACATAAATAAATAATTTGTGGAAAAAGCAGGAAAAAAACTTGTCCAGTGAGGCAGTGACCGGTGAAACATCATTTAATTGTTACTCAAAAGCTTTGTACCGGCTAAACCGGGCGAATTTACACCATATCGGTTTCCACAAGTTATATGCCTGATAATAAAGAGAGAGGCTGAGAGATATGTTGAACTTCGTGGATGCATGAATATAGTTGTTTAAACCGCATAGACTATATGTTGAAATGGTTTTCACTATGTTAGTTGAGGGATCAATTAACAAACAAAACTAAAGCTTTCCAACAAGACGTAAACCAAGTGATCCGGTTTATTTAGGCTACGTAAAGTGCACTACTCACAATATTGACAATAAGTGCTATCACGATCTCTCTCGACTATAAGCCTCTATATAAACTAACACGCGACAAGCAATCTCCTAAGAAAACAAATATCCTCTCTTTCAATATATCTAACTACAACAAATTTAAATTTGCAAATTGTTTCAAGTATGAGTTTAATTAGCGGTAAAGCGTGTGTGTTTATTTTGGCATTTGCTTTGTTCACAGATTTCAGTTTTGGAGAAACAGAGTTTCTTGATGAGAAGCCCTTGTTTCCTCACCCTCGTCCATTCCTCCACAAAGGTGGCATCCACAAGAAGGGCTTTAAGAAAGGCTTCGGCGGTTTAGGCGGTGCTGGAGGTATAGGCGGTGGAGGCGGCTTCGGAGCAGGAGGTGGTGGTGGTTGGATTGGAGGCGGAATCGGAGGCTTTAGTGGAGGAATAGGCGGTGGATTTGGTGGTGGCGGAGCAGGAGGGGGAGGAGGATTCGGCAGCGGAGGAGGATTTGGCGGGGGTCCAGGTGGAGGAGCTATTGGTGGACCTGGCGGCAAAGCTGGTGACGCTCCAGGTGGTGGACTTGGCGGCAAAGCTGGTGATGCTGGACCTGGTGGCAAAGCTGGTGATGCTGGATCTGGTGACGCTGCGGGTGGAGGAGCAGTCAGCGGTGCCGGTGGAGGAATCGGCGGCGGAGGCCACTGAGGGTTTGTTAAACTGTTATCAATTATGTGCATTGACGAGGACTATAATCCCCATGCATTATGTATGTTTTCATTTAAGAACAGCTAGTTCCCCAAAAATATAATGTAATAAAATATACAAGAAATGTACGTCGTTTCCCTTTAGTTGAGTCAAATGTATGCTGTTTTCTTTCCTCTGTGAGTCTGTGACATGTGCTGGTTTGATTTTCGAGTAAAGAAAGTGATTCTAAAACGATCAACAAAATATACAAAAAGTTAATAACACTCGATATATATCCTCATATATATTTGAGTTAAATGCTTATAATAGAAACTTTGATTTTTAAATTGTATATCATTATCACTTCAAAAGTATACGTATATCAAAACGAAGCCTGGTGCATTTATTTTTAAATGGAACGAAGAAGAAAGAGCCGTCGTTTCTTGTACCGTACGTAAGACAATTTAAAAGTACAACCTTAAAGTTTAAACGAGATTAAATCTAAATTAATCACAGATGGTTACAGAGCAGTTTCTCGCGCGTGAACGGCCGTAAAAACCCGTTTCATGAGCTCGACGGGACCAACAAAGTAATTCCAGAGAGAATATTCCCAGAATCACCGGCCGAAAGGGTACAATGGTGATTTTGCAAAATTCTCCGATGAGTTTGCAGACCTTGTTTTTTAAGTGACGGAGGATTTACAAACCGGGCATGCTTTACTCCGTCCTAGCCATGGATCGATGCACTGCACAAAACATAAACACAGATGTTCGTATTGTATAATCTTTTAAAGGGTTTTTGATTTGACTCAGTAAACGATCCTTACATCTTTGTGGAATTTGTGAAAACAAGGAAGATGACGGATAGTGTCTCCGATCGTCGGCGTTTCCAGACAGATAACACACGTTTCTTGGAAATTATCGGTCTGCAAATTTTCACATAAAACCCCAAAGAGAAAGGTTTCATTACAAAATTTCCATATGCCAAAAAAAAAAAGGATTTTACAAGTCTTAACTTACTTGAACTGTGGACTCTGGCAAGTTGTTAATGCGATGAGTAGAAGCACCAGCATGTCGATGGTTGTTTTCATCAAGAGCTAGCAGCAATTCGTAATCATCTCTGCATCGTAAAGGAAATGTTGTAAGATTTAAGTCGCATATATTTACGAATGATGAAAAGAGGTACACCAAAAGAGAACATACTCAGTAAAGTCACGATCCATATGAAGAAGACTACTATTGTTCATGGCGTGTCCAATAGCATTCTCTAGAGTCTCTAGACCCTCCAGAAGATCCATTCTCTGTTACATTAAGAAAACAAGGGTAAAGAATTAATATTCAGTTCCATGCGACACACTCCAGGGAATATAAACAGAGTTCATTAGAAAAGTGTACCAAATCTACGCCCATGTAATTTGGAAAACTGAGATTCAGAGCTGCCTGTGTTGAAGCAGATGCACGGCCTAAACGGTGACCTCTACCCCGTGGTGGCGCTCTAGCAGTAGCACGACGAGGCTGTGGAGGATTCGATCTCCTCCTAGAAGAATTCTGTTGCAGTCGTTCTTCCAGCCGACTTCTCCCACCTGGATTTGCTGCTACCTGTAAATTATACTACTCGTTAGCATAAGCAAACGGTTAAGATCCTAAATCCAGATTTTCATATTAAATGCATGAACACATGACACATCCATGTTTCACAATGATTAGTCTCGCATCTGAACTCAGGAAAGTTTTAGAGTTGGTGACTTACGGTATTAGAGCTTCTGGTATTACGAGTTGAAGAGGTACGACTAGAAGAAGCACGAAGAGCATTCTCTTCTTGTTCAATCAACCTGGCTATGTTTTCATCAATCTGTAACAATGTATGAAGTCGAAATAAGACCATCGAGAAACCTTGATAGAACCTATAGAGGATATCAAAGAATTAAGGAAGGTCTGGAAAAGTACCTGCTCGTTTCTAATCACTGAGGCTTCTTGGTACATCTGTTCTTGCAGTTCACGAGCCATTAACTCATCTGCTTCCATTTGTCTTGCTTTAACATCAGAGTCATCGTTTGCAACGCGTCTAGGAACCCGGGAGACTCGTACTTCGGGAGATGAATCATCAATCTCCAACACTTGTGTGCCTTGCCTTTGATGATTCTGACTTCTCGGTGGCCTTGAACTAGAGGGTTCCACAGAAGATCCAATAATAGAAACATCTGGCTCATTTGAAGATCTCGAAGTAGTAAATCCAAGTTTCCGTCTCCGTGGTTGTCTAACTTCTTTGTCAATCGCACCGGTTTCCTGCACGTCGAGTCGGGAAACGGAGCTACAAATTCCACGTGTGTCACTCTCCTCACCCCTCCGATTCATTTCATGGTCGGTATTTAACTCCCGGTTACGCGTACTAACCCACCTCTCCAAGTCTTCTCTACTTGCCAACCTATTTGCATTGATACAAACTCTTTTAGCACCCAAACAAAAGAAAGAATCATCCCTATGTTCAAACATGTGATGAAAGATAAGGGAAAAACATTACCTATTTGAGGAAGTTTCAGGTCTTTTTCCTCTAGCTCTTGCGTGCATCCGATTTTCAGAAACAATCTCCAAAGATACAGTTTCAGGAGCTATCTCGTGTTCAACACTAACTGTTTCCTCGGAAATGGTAGCAGCAGCTTGCCTAGCTCTAGCTGCGATTCCAAGTGGAGAAATGCAGCCATGCCTTACCAGTCTCTTAGTGCCTCTACTCGGTTTCTTGTCACTGGAAAGGTCAATTGTTTCTCTATCAGAAACAGAGCCACAGTCTACTTTCCCTTTACCCTTATGATCACCTCGCAAGGGAGAGCAATCAACGCTAGCTGTGCGGTGTTCTCTTATATCCTCAGATGCAGCAGCTCCATTTCGTGGATTTAGATTCAAAACTGGAATTTTCTCAGCAGGAGCCGCGCAAGGACCAGTGCAGATGGATTTTCCTTTATCCTTCTCAACCGCAGCTCTCCTAAACAGAGCATTGCTTCCAGAAGGACGAAAGCGACGTACGTTCTCAGTAGGTGTATCAGAATTCTCCACAACTTGAGGGACTTGTCTGGTTCTACCGCCGTTGCGGTACTCTTCTCTTTGGTACCTAACCGGTGCTTCTGGAGAATGCGGTCTTCTCTTAACCTCTCTGCTCATCGAGCTACACCGTACGGCCCTATCTGGAGTGTCAGGTATGCTGATTACCATTTCAATGTCAGTGTTGTCCATCCTGAGAAATTGAAGCAATGCTTAGCGTTAATGGCCTAACAATTAATTTTTCTGATTACAGAGATGTAGAAGAACGAAAACAGATGATTTTCATCGAATCAAACAGAATACCTGAAATCCAAATTCAAAGGAATCTTAGCTACACCGAAACACCGAAAGCAAATTGTTCCTCCCCGTGAAAAAAAACACAATCGTAGAGAAAAACTCTATCACGCTTGCAAACACAAAAGGAAAGAGGAAATTACCCGATTGATAATCTAGTTCCAAAGTGCGAATCGAAACCCTAATTGTTCGAGAAACCAAAAGCATCGATTCTGATGAGAAACAACAGGCGTCGATTGGACCACAGATAGTTCCGGGTCGGGTAAGGAATTACTGGGTCGGGTTATGGATCTTCAATCTGATGATGTTGGCTTACGCAATGAAACTGGGCTATGGTCCAATAAATTGGGCTTTTGAATTTAATTTCCTTTTTCTTTCCTTTTCTCCCGATTAATCTCCGCCGTCTAAAATATATGATTGAGACCACTTTGTTATTACCCAAGTTCTCCCAATAATACAGAGAGGTCGTCTATGAATGCAAGAATACGGACGATGATGAGTGCACTAGCATAGAGTATAGACTCGCATACCCATTTTAGGCTTGTAAAACCAAATATTTGGGCTATTTATTTCTCATACTGATGATTAGTTAATAGTAAGATTTTACATTTTGTTTTCTTTGCTTTAGATTTTTGTATAGTTTTTTTTATACATCATCTTTCGTTTGTAAGTTGTAACCATATTATGAGGCTAAAAGTTTTGATCCCTAAATTCATTTTTCTTGTTTTTATGCTTTATGTTTCTTCAAGAATATTTCAAATTTCAGCATAATATAAACAGTTGATATTATTGACAATTTGATAACCTAATTGTATGTTGAAATTCATAACGCGTTTGTCTTTTAAGTTTCAACGATAGATAAAATGTTTCCAAGTCAATTTTTTCCAATTAGTTAGCTACTTTTCCGAATAAGAATTACATAGTTTACACGAAGTCCACGCACTCATCACATAACTTTGACAAGTACTATATGACAACGTACTTCTTTGGGATTTGTTTAATAACAAAACTAACAAAACATAGTACAATAATCATTTATTGGGATAATCAAGTCACCAATTGCCTCAAACCAATTATTTTGGTGGTTTCTTAATGAATTTATTCGAGGAAATATCCTCTCTCTTTTTGCTTCAGTTTGGCTTCTTCTGCATCCGACTTTTAAAAAAAACATTACTATCTTTTGTATGTAAACTTAATAATTCACCAAACTAACTACCATTGTCTTATTTAAATTATGGTAATTTTATTGTAATTAAGAGGGCTAAATTTATAATGATTTATCTTTATTTTACATGAATAATGTTTTAAAAATCTGACTATTATTTATTTATTTATAATTTATCTATCGACGATATTATTATTTATTTTTATTTTGTCTTAATATCTTTCGAGGAGCTTTTAACGGTTATCGTATCTAATAGCGATTCCCAGATTCCATGTAAGCTTCCCGACCGGACTTTGAACCTTCCCCATTAGAGACAGCTAAAGGAACCGTGTCCATCTCTTTGGTTCCTCTGCCTCTAAATTATATTCCTTTCTTCCAACTCCGAATCTACTTCACATCATCTTCTCTTTGCATAGATCTCTTCTTTCCACGAATCTTCTCGGCTGGGTTTTTTCCCGATCTGGCTCGGATCTGATTCCTCCGAAGCAACGAATCTCGAGTCTCCTTTTGTTTTGCCTTTCAGGGAAAGTCGAGAATTGTTTTCAAGAAGATAAATTTCTCTTTACTTCTGGGGGGCAGCTGCTGATTAGCTTCAATCGTCTTGATCTGGGTATACAAAAAACTTTCCTTTTTTGGCAAATTATTTCTGGCTTTGTTTGGGTTTCATTTTCGAATTTCAATTTCCTTTTCACGTTTTGAATTTATTGAATTCCGACTCCCAGAGTCTCGTGTCTGTTAAAAGTTGTCGACTTTGCATTTGGGGATTTTGCTTGGGTTTTGGGTTTTACATCCCAAATTTTCAGATTTGTCTGCTCTTATCCGATATTGGAGAGTTGCAAATTTGGAAACTTCACTTCTGTTTCTCAATTGAGAGGGTTTATAGGTTTTAAGATGATGGGACTTGAGTTGGGTTTGTCTCTCCTTGTCAAAGATTGAGTCTTTTCAAAGCTTTAGTTTGTTATAGATAAACTCTCCTGAGAAATGGCAAGCAGCACCATTGATGTCACCAAGTATGGTCACAGCCCTGTTCACCATGCTGTTGTCACCAGAGATTACGCCGGTCTCAAGAAACTATTATCCGCCCTCCCGCGTATGCGTGACCCGTCTGAGGTCAAAAACGAAGCAGCTTCCGTAGCCGAAGAGACAAAAGCCGACGCAATCGCAGCTGTTATAGACAGGCGTGACGTCGTTAACCGAGACACGGCTCTTCACTTAGCTGTAAAGCTCGGCGACGAGACCTCCGCGGAGATGCTCATGGCTGCAGGAGCTGACTGGAGCTTGCAGAACGAGCACGGATGGAGCGCTCTGCAAGAAGCCATATGCGGTAGAGAAGAGAGGATCGCCATGATAATCGTGAGGCATTATCAGCCCCTGGCTTGGGCTAAATGGTGCAGGAGGCTGCCTCGGCTCGTGGCTACAATGCACAGGATGAGAGACTTCTACATGGAGATCACTTTCCATTTCGAGAGCTCTGTTATACCTTTCATCTCCAGAGTGGCGCCTTCGGATACTTACAAGATTTGGAAGAGAGGTGCGAATCTCAGAGCGGATATGACGTTGGCTGGATTCGACGGTTTCAGGATTCAGAGATCGGACCAGACTATACTCTTCCTCGGAGATGGGTCGGAAGATGGTAAAGTTCCTTCCGGTTCACTCCTTATGATATCGCATAAGGATAAGGAGATTATGAATGCTTTGGACGGTGCTGGAGCTCCGGCGTCAGAGGAAGAGGTTCGTCAAGAAGTGGCTGCCATGTCGAAAACGAGCATTTTCAGACCGGGGATCGATGTTACGCAAGCTGTTCTGTTCCCTCAGCTGACGTGGAGGCGTCAGGAGAAGACTGAGATGGTGGGGCAGTGGAAAGCGAAAGTGTACGATATGCAGAATGTGGTTGTGAGTATAAAGTCAAGGAGAGTGCCTGGTGCTATGACCGATGAGGAGCTTTTCTCAAACAGTAATCAAGAGAACGAGACTGAGAGCGAGGATCTTGGAGATATCTTGACGGAGGATGAGAAGAGGCAGCTGGAGCTAGCACTTAAGTTGGATTCGCCTGAGGAGTCTTCTAACGGCGAGAGCTCTAGGATTAATACAAGTTCTTCTTTGGAGGAGGATCGGGAGATTCCGGTGACGGATGGGAACGGGTATTGCAAACAGGAGAAGAAAGGATGGTTCAGTGGGTGGAGGAAGCGAGAGGAAGGGCATAAACGAAGCGGTAGTGTTCCTCCAAGAAGCTCGCTTTGTGTGGATGAGAAAGTGAGCGATCTCCTTGGGGACGATGATGGTGGAAAACAGATGAAACCGGGAAGGCACTCTACGGTTGAGAGTGTTGCGAGAGACGAGAACAGGGGAGTGAGAGATTCTTCGTCGTCAAAAGCTTCAACATCGGAAGGCAGCAGCGGAAGTAGCAGTAAGCGAAAGGAAGGTAACAGAGAGAATGAGTACAAGAAAGGGCTTAGACCAATTCTTTGGCTCTCTGAGAGATTCCCATTACAGACTAAAGAGCTTCTTCCGTTGCTTGATATTCTTGCAAACAAAGTCAAAGCAATTCGGCGTTTGAGAGAGCTTATGACCACAAAGCTACCTTCAGGAACATTCCCAGTCAAGGTCTGTTTAAGTTTTAACCTCTGTGATCATCGTCATCTTCATCATTTTTGTGTCAAGCTTTTACTCATTTCGTTTGGATATTTGATTGCAGGTTGCTATTCCGGTGATTCCTACGATTAGAGTACTCGTTACGTTTACAAAGTTTGTAGAGCTAGAAGCTATTGAAGATGAGGATGAGTTTGTTACGCCGCCATCGAGCCCTACTTCTTCAGTCAAGAACAGTCCTAGAGAGGAGACACAGACCTCATCATCAAGCTCATCATCCTCATGGTTTCAGTGGATCAAAACACCGAGCCAACAACGTCCATCAACGAGCTCGAGCTCTGGAGGGTTTCATATCGGTAAAGCCGAAAACGATCAGGATCCATTTGCTATTCCGAGGGGATACAATTGGATTACATCTGAAGAGAAGAAAAAGAAGATCCAAGAGAAGAATAAAGCTAAGAAAGGCAAGCCATCTCAGAGCAGCTGAAGAAAAAGAAAACACAAGTAAGAAGATGTCTCTCTGGAAACAAAAAGTAGGGAAATCTAGCAGATTATTACCATTACTACTGGTAAAAAAAAAAGATCAAATCCTTTTTCCTGGTTGTTGTACTAATAAACTGGGTTTATAATATCAAAACCAGGGGAAAACAAATTTAATTAAATATAGTTGGGGAAATTAAGGAATGAGGTGGGTTAATGTTGTTGTTGTGACTTATTTGCTTATGATTCTTTCTCTGTCTTTTGTTTAATCGTTGGAGATGATTATTATTATCTCTGTATCATCATCATATAAGCTCTGTTGGTATTAGATCAAGTTGTTTACTCGAACTTTGCATTTCGCAGAGTCTCTTGTCTCTTTACTTGTCGGCTTTTCCGATTTCTCCATTAGAGTGGTGTTATTACAGAACAGACGAAAGGTTTCTATAGGAAGGTCGAGAAATGTTCTGGAAAATCCGATTATAAAGTCTAGAGTCACATCAGGATATAAATCTGCCTATCTCCAAACAATGCCTCAAGTGACTTCAGTTCCTTCAAGTTCATTGGTTTTTACTCGAAAGTGAATTTGCGAAAAACACTCTACAATCTCTACTAGAATCAACTCATTTCAGACACATTGCTAAGAAAAACAAAACAAAACTCAAAAAAAATACTAGTGTCACTGGATTATACAAACACCACAATATTTTCTTTTAGAATCTCCTGCATGATCTCCATCCTCGGATGCGCTGCAATTAAATTCCACAAACGCAGATTAATGTCCTAGCACCGGAGTATGGTGAACCGGTAATTAACCGTTTTAGAAAGATTATAACAGAAATCTATGACTGAAACGTTGCGGAAAACTAAACCAACACATAAATAAATGCATGATTGATTACCTAAGCTCAAACTCTTGAACATGAGCAATATCTTTGCCATGAGCATCAGGCCAGCTTACTTTCCTCTGTTCCAAGCCTTTCTCTGCATCTGTCTTTATCTTGAGGTTGCTTTTGAGCCTGGAAGGCTCGCTGGAGACGGCGGTGCAGCTTCTTCCGCCGTGTCTTTTAGGCAGCTGATGTTTTCGCCTCCGTCTTCCTCCTCTTCCTCGGAAGCCAAAGCCATCCTCGACTTCCGTGTCCGGCTTACCAATAAAGTCTTCAGAACAATTAGTCCTTGATGGTACGTAACAAGATCGTACCAAGGCCGAACATTTTTCTCTTGTTAATGTCGCCAGGTGGTCCACTTTAATGATCCGATCAAATCCGACCCGTCGTACTTAATCGAAACTTGAATACGAACTAGACAAAGAACTTCTTTTAACTAAGAAAAAAAACAAAAAGGACAAAAACACTTGTGTTTGGGGTTTGTGTGATTATGGTTTTAAGATGAGATTTGAAAGAGAAATGAGAGATGGTAATAAGAATAGAGAGACGAGAAAGAAGAAAGAGAGTAATTAGTGTTGATGGTGAATGCTTGTGGGTTTAGGCAATGATGCACATTTGGCATAAGGAGGCTTTTGTGGGGTTTCCTTGTCTCTTTTCAAGTTTAGGCTTGCATTAAAGAAAATTTTGAGTTCGTATCGGATCTTTAAACAAATAATAGAGAAGATGATCCAGTTGAGCACTCTATATTATATCAGAAAAACTCTAGCTCGAATCATTTACCCTAACACTATATTAAAAATTCGAGTTAGTTAGTAACAGCCAATTAATTTTCAAAAAGAAACCTATAAATCTTGACAGTAAGTAACGTTAGCTTACAGGCCAACTACTTGAACGTCCTTTTATCATCTTTCTCTGAAAGTTTTAAATTTATATAAATCAGTCATGTAGATTATTGATTTCATGGCTAAGATATCAGCTTATACTTTAGTCTAAAAGTTATCGAATATCTATGATTGATTTACCTAAAAACTATATAAAAAAAAATCGAAAGCATCACTAGTAAATGACTAAGCTGCATCAACATTTCAATTTCTAGCTGTACACCAAGAGAACTTTTGATTTCTTTTGTTTGTATGTTACACTATATACACATGTGTCAGTATGTATGCAGAATACTAAATATAGTAACTGTATACACAGATACTTCATATAAACACAACATACTAAATATAGTATTATATACACAAATAAAAAGATGACGATGTTATGCATTGGGCCATAATTGGTAATCATAACAGCTAACAAAGAATGTTGAGGCGTGGCTTTGGAATGAATTATCATTATGATGTTTCCATTAGCACTTGTATCACTTTTATTCGTCTCTCCACCCTGTAATTTTCACCTTTCTTAACAATTCAAACATCTTTTAACCTGTTCTTCGTTTCTTTTCAATTACGATCCCTGAACAATTGAAAAACTATGGGACCGAACTTTATTTCAAATAAAGCCAAGTCGTCGAGGGCGAAAAGTTATGGCGCCACGTACCGACGTACGGCCATCTGATATACACGTAAGCAGGGGCGGATCTAGAAAAAATATATAACATGGTCAAAATTTGGGAACTTATAATTATTGGGTCAAAACCATTAAAAATTAACCAAATAATCAATTTATATTACAATTATATACCTAAATTCAATAAAATTTTAAAATTAGTTGGGGTCATTTGACCACCTAAGTGCCATACTGGCTCCGCCTCTGCACGTAGGTCCATCTCTTTGCTTCGAAAGATGCACGTTAACATATATGAAAGATATTTGTGACCTTATAAGATAAAGTTGTTTGTGTAAGAAATTTTTTGTCACAGCTAGGCAACACAACACCATCTTCAAATGTCTCCTAAGTGGCATGGGAAAAAAATATTCACATTTAGGATATCAAAAATTTGGGACGGTGGGCAAATTACTGGACAAAAGATAATCGAGACTTTTTGAAATCTGACAATTTCCATTAGAATCGCCACATTCTGGAAAACAGTGGGCAACATATATAATTTTTTTATATATTACCTACTACCTTCAGCAGAATATGGTTAGGGGCGAGTTATTTATTAGGACAACTATAGACTAAAAATTAAAAGATTCAAAACAATAAGACCCAGCTGAGAAAAACAAAAATTGGCTAAGTCGAAGTCGTGTGAGAATAATGGGGACGGATAGCACACGTGGCAACATATTACAGGTTTAAAAGACGACCAGCCCGCGGTATTTTAGATCCAGTTGATGATAATGAATCAAGACGAGAAACCATCTAGGTTCCTTCTTCTTCTTCCACAATATAATTATTTCCTCACACACCCACCCCTAGAGAGAGAGAGAACGGTGTTACCGCTTTTAGGAGAGATAAAGTAGGTTTCTTCATTTAGAATTTGGATAGACAGAGAGATACAGAAAGTGTTTAGCCATGATGAGTCTGAGAAGAGGAGAAAGGCAAGACTCGCCGGCGGCGTACAACGTTGTTCACAAACTGCCGCACGGAGACAGTCCTTACGTCCGAGCAAAGCATGTTCAGGTGAGAATTTACGATTTTTGGTTTTATCAAATATAATCAGAATCTATAAATGATTTTATCCATAAAAAGTAACTATAGAGATCTGGTTGAGGAAGATGGAAAAATAATCGAAAATCGATTTGACTGATTTGAAAATTGGAAATGTTTGGTCACAGCTTGTGGAGAAGGATGCGGAAGCAGCGATAGAGTTGTTCTGGAAAGCGATCGAAGCGAGAGACAGAGTGGATAGTGCTCTTAAAGACATGGCCTTGTTGATGAAACAACAGAACAGAGCGGAAGAAGCCATTGAAGCTATTCAGTCCTTTAGACATCTTTGCTCGAGACAAGCTCAAGAATCACTCGACAATGTCCTCATCGATCTCTACAAGGTAAAAACCTCACTCCGAGATCATTCTAGCTATTGTCTGGTTGATTGATTGTTGTTAGATAATAAATATTGAGAAAATTGGGATCCGAATTCTGAGCAGAAATGTGGGAGAATAGAAGAGCAAGTTGAGCTGTTGAATCAAAAGCTTTGGATGATATACCAAGGAGAAGCATTCAACGGCAAGCCAACAAAGACAGCGAGATCTCACGGGAAGAAATTCCAGGTCACGGTCGAGAAGGAAACCTCTAGGATCTTGGTACGATAATCTCTCAATTTTTTTTGGTTTTTATTAGATTTTCTGAAGTTTATTGATCACAAATGTGCTGATGGGAATGATTGAAATTTGTGTTTATAGGGAAACTTGGGATGGGCTTATATGCAACTAAGGGACTACACAGCGGCTGAGACCGTGTACAGGAGAGCTCAAATGATAGAGCCAGATGCAAACAAGGCTTGTAATTTGTGCACGTGTCTCATCAAGCAAGGGAAGCACGATGAGGCGAGATCGATTCTGTTCCGTGATGTGCTACGAGAGAACGCGGAAGGGTTTGGTGATTTGAGGTTGAAGGCTCGTGTTCAAGAGCTGCTGAGTGAGCTAGAGCCCCGGGAAGAAGAAGAAGAAGAAGCAGCGGTTTTAGCTTCTGTGTCTTTGGAATGTGAAGTTGGTATGGATGAGATCGAAGGGCTTGATGAGTTTGTGAAAGAATGGAGGAGGCCTTATAGGACAAGAAGACTTCCTATCTTTGAGGAGATCTTACCACTGAGAGATCAATTAGCTTGTTGATTATTCTCTGTCGTTTGGATTGATACTTTGAATGCTATAAATAGCAACTTTTTGTGTAGAAGAGTGTAGTGAACATAGTTTACTTCTTGTAAGCTGTTTTTGGGTGTTGTATAACTTGTTATCACTGTAATATTTCAAAGGAATCCAAAAATAGTTGATGTTATTTCCATTAATATAAGAACACTGTAGGGAGGAATCATAATCCGATCATAGAATTTTAGATTACAAAAGCATAAAGGCCTAACCTATAACAAGCAAAAAGCTTAAATCTGTCTTCCAAAAATTTGATCTTCTAAGGATCATTGTCAATACCAAGTCAATATATTTGCCTAATAGAGAAGGGAACATATATTAAAAGGGGATAACTATACCGGGAGTGGTTCTAATCAGATTAGTAGCGATGTGTGGTCTGATAAAATAGCATGGGATCAAGTTTTAAGTACACTTGAAGCCATGGCAAACCGACAAGATGATGATGAGAATCAAAGCGACGACGATGCCGAAAACTACGAGCTTTATCTTCATGTTGTCAAACCACATTTTTCTTTTAATCTTTGTTCCTTGTGCTCTAAAATCTTGCGCCTATATAAGACATTCAGAAAAACAAGACCATGTTACCACTTTATCCCGGTATGCAATGAGGTGTCTATGCTGTATACGTAGAGAAGTGGTTTACTAACCTGTGAGCGAAGATTCTCAGTTTTGTCTACTAATAGCTCGATTTTCTCACCACGGTCAAGGACCTGCCATGGAAATGAATTCTCAGAAAACATTCATTTTTGTTGGTCTTAGCGGAAGTCTATCAATACAATTCTGAAAATTACCTTCTCAATGTTCTCCATCATAACACCTTTCACTTCAGTCACTTGAGCCTTAACCTTGGCAAGTTTGCTAATCTCCTCGGGATGATCCACGCAATATTGCATGTGCTGTTTGAGTTTAGGCCTTCATTACAACAAAACCAGTTAAAAACAGAGTTATAAAGATGGAATTGGATATATATGAGTTTTGTGTGTCAAAATGCTGATTTTGATGTAAAAAAAGTACCCGAATTCTTTGTTCAGGCTGTTGGCTTTAGCATTGTTGGCTTTTCCACCACCATATCTCTTGCTGAAATCTTCCTTGACTCGCTCCAAGAATGCCATTGGTATCTGCCTCCCAGCAGATTCAATAACAACAACACAATAGGCTGCATTTCAAACACACAGAGAATTAAAACCAGCTTTTGCCACATTCTATCTAAAGCAAATACGTGCGCTGGGTTGTGTTCCTCCAAAAGCGTATTTTTTTAGCAAAAGGAAAACATTGATCAAGCATCCAAACAAGCTTTTAATTCTTCACCATAATCAAAACAACAAGCCATTAACAGAGTATGTGTGTGTACTGATGTAGCCGGTTTGCCTGAACCGTGCGTGTGATTTAGTTTGGTTCACTGTGAGATAACCAACACCCTCTCCTTTTAAAAGAGGGTCTTATGTAACAAACTCATTTTTGTCGTTACTATAAAATAACAGAAACTTTCCATTTGGTCATTTTCTTCCTTCGGAATCTATCTACTAAATTTGATGGAAATCAGAGCGAAACATGATTTCGGTTAAAAACGACCAAATTTTTACATCTCAACCAGAATGTGCATGGAAATGTAACCCAATTCATGCTTCTAGCCAAATGGAAACTCTTCATGTAATTTGCCACAAATCTTTTAGATATGAATCAGAGAGTTAATGATTCACATGCGTATACAATTTCACAAGAGCCGAGTGCGACAAAATATCCTACGAATCCAAAGCTGCACTAATCTCGAAATTATAGATCGAAACTCAGCATTCAAATGAAAAATAACCGAAAGTAATAATGTGATCGAACAAACAAAAAAGACTTACTGAAACCATTCTCAGCGAGATAATTGAAAGTGTGACCATCGCAATTGTAGGTAAATTTGTTGTTTGAGGACGGAAGCTTCTGGAGGCATTGAGCGGCGACGGATGTGAAATTTCCTTTGAACTCTGTATATTCGGCGAGGATCACCGTACCCCGAGCGACGAAGCTGTAGATCAACGATTGTTGTCCCATTGTTCCTTTATCCAGACGCAACACAAAAATAAAAACTCTAGCAGCACCAGAATTCGATCAGAGAAATTAGTAAACGATGTAAAATAATACCATATGGTTATGGAACGAGGG